GAAGCGATAACCTGCCAAGTGAGGTTCTCGATACGACAGATATCCACTCATCCAAACATACGTTAATTATATCGAAAACATACTTTAGAACGTAAATATGCACCAAAAGAAAGCGCTCGTATTGAAATTTCACACCGGTCAGAGATTATCGATTGATCCCAATTAAGTGTGAAAATAATCTGAAGAATATCTCACAAGACACAAAAAGCTTAACCGATCACTAGAAACGCACGTTAGGTGAAGACTTAAAAATCTACGAATAGACATGGCTTCGCGTGCGCTTACAATCAAGAAGGAATCTCGCTGGCCCCTATCCTCTGCGGAGAATTTCGGACAAGATTACTTCTAGAAGTCCAACACGCGAGCAGTCGAATAATAGCTATTATCGCTTTGATACACGTAACGAGCTCATAGTCTCGGGTTTGTCTTACAAAAATACTACACCTACGATTTCAGTAAAAAACGTATATTACTTGATGTTTAATTTACGATTTATACATATTAGAAAAAAGGTTACCTCTAAATTACTCTTTATCCATACGAAAGTACAAAAAGTTATGTTATTACGAATTATGACACTCATACCCTGATGCACCCCGCGCATTACGTACCTAGTAAGTTAGTCTTATTGCCACGCAACAACTTAATTATTATCTTTAACCAATTCGTAAGATTATCACCGATTCGATTGTCCGTGCAACATCCTCGAAGCCGTTCGAAAACCCAACCTAATTTAGCAGAACTGGCCCGACGCCTACAATACCGAAATGTCCTCAGACTGATTTAAATTCATTTCGATCACAAAATATTAGACCACGTGAAACATGGATGCTTTATCGATAAATGCAATGGAACGCGACGTTAAGCCCTACCTAAAAAAAGTTAATACAAATGTCAATATTATGTTACATACTACATAGTGTAGAAAACATCGAGTATCAAAATATAATTAACGTTGATTTGCTTTCACTAACCAATAACAGCCGTATACTAGAATCAGCCAATGCGTTTATGGTAATTTTGAGCTTACTGGACGCAGCTTTGAAATTTTACATTTGGATTACGAAAACTACATCAATTCTTTCGGTGCACGTTATTGCTTTCCGAGGTTTTAATTATTTTGCAAAGACTACGTTAATTTCACCACTGGTTCCTCAATTTCCTTATCACAGAGCTTACATCTAGCAACTTCATCCGCGACCAAGTCTTCGTGACTATCACATTTTGGGACCGTTTAAACCTTATCGAAACATTAAAATTTAATATGTACGGTTATTGAGAGCTCCAAGCGTGCCTCGGTGAGCGCGTCTTCCATTCTAGAAATGGTACAACGGGCATGATTAATAATTTAATTGAAATACCTATGCGATGCGTCCCCGCAGTGCCTATGACCAGAATGTACACAATGTAATAACAAAACTCGCTTGGCACGAGACTATCAAGTAATACAATGAAGAAACATGACGATGACTTAAGAATAATGACCACAACCACTCGCTCCAATCACACCGATTATAATTGAAGGTAGCTAAATTTAAAGAGACTACCGAGGAAATAAGGGGTACTAACTAACCTATGAAAAGCAGACACGAAACACTACTAGATTATGCCGATGTTATTATACTGCGCACTACTATACTACATGTAGGTTCTCAATAAATAGAATTCAAATAAATATACAAAAAATTAAATATACGATATAGTTTTATAATAAGTAACAATTTTTGTTTCTAAATCGACCAACGAAAAACAAATATAAATGAAAATATACGTTAACGAGTCACGTAGATGTGAGGAGAAACAATTGCGCGTAATAATTATTTAGGATTTACAGCAACTATTTCGTAAAGATTATCTAAGATCTGTTATTTTATATGTATTTGATTTAATTTATAAAATTTGCAAAAGTAACAAATTGTTTCTTTGTACTTTTAAGCAATTCACTAAATTACACCACATTAAAATTTAACATGAAAAAATTCGAATGCGGGTGTCTAAATAAATTGTTATTAATTACAAAAATTTAACAAATATGTGCAAATAAACTAAGAAGTTGGCAACGTTCGTGTAATTACATTTATTTAAACTGAACAAATAACTTAGTAAAATATGAATAATCAAACACATACTACGATTTTCGACTGAGGAAAAAAGGTAGGTCAATAGTATTTAGAGAGCCTCTGTTACACTTATTTTACAACCGTAAGAAGTATCCGTTATATCCGACTCTGGGGTACATTGCATACAAACAATATGCTCATTTCAGAATTAAAATCAGAGTAAGGGGAAAGTTACAAAGTTCTGATACGTCCGTTAAATATGAAAACAGGGACATCAATAACTTCACAAATCTGGTCGTTGGTGTTTATAAAATTTTCTAGTTATACATCTAAAGAGGTAATGTTAAGATCTTAAGGTATCAAAACGTACGTAGCTTAAACAAAATAGGGACATCGATATAGAGTAAAATGGATACTTTACCTATCATAAACCTTTGAATTTGTACGGGAGAGAGGGGATGACTTCTCGAGTCACCGTTAAATGTTCTATAATAATCTAAAGTAGATAGATGGCTCTGTATTTGACTATTAAACAATATGATTCTATAATTTGTGTCATTCTCTAGAGTACGCGCGCTGCGATGCCACCCCACTATCATTTGTACATGCTCACCATCAGATGATCTGGTTCTTTTTAATATTTTCCTAAATATACCAACAACAGCTCGTTTCATTTTTTTTTAATTTTTCAAATATTTTATTGATTACATACATTCAATAAATTTAAATGTACATTAAACTTTTAAATATATTCTTAACGAGCAAACTTTGATAAAATTAAAATTGTTTAACATATGGTTTGGCATAACGGCGCGCGGCTATGTTTAAAATTATTAGGGATCTTTTTGATATTGTTGTTTTTATGTACTATCGATTTATGGCTAATCTAGAAATACGCAATAATATATATCAATAAACACTTTGTAAGCATCTGCGTGTACGATAAACGGCGTTATTTACAATACTATGTACCGTGCTATGATTTTTAGATAAAATTTTCGATCTTAGAATAGTAAGCGGGTAAAAGAAACTATAAAGAGAGGTATAAATACAAACACACTCGACGGAATGGTTTTACGATTCATCAACACATTAGATTTAGTTTTCAACATTGTTGACAGCAGTTCTCTTCTACTAGCGACTTCTGATGGAACTGGCGTTACCAGCTGAGCAGAGGGCTACCACTTATATTGTTCCGCGAACTAATTTTAGGATACAAAAAACGTATTTTTTTTTCATTTCGTTGTTAAGTGTTGATAAAACCAAAAATCCATTCCGTCGTCCAATCAAACCGTGCCAGATGACAAGGATGATGAATGATGGTGTAGTGATGCGGATGATAGTGATGTTGATGTATGTCGATGATGATGCTAAAGCCTCCTGACCAAATAACAGCGTAATTTAGATAATTTAGGGCGTAGTTCGTGCGCTATGTCCCAAATGAAATAAATTACGCAATTTCTGTGGACAGTTGGTTTATCTAGTAAAGTGTCCACGGACACAGTCCCATTTATAAAAATTACTTTAAATCTACATTTAGGAGGACAATGCACAAGTGATTATCAAATTAGTAGTGAAAAATATTGCTTTCAGTACAAAAGTGAAGAGTTGAGAAAATATGCATTTTATATCATCCTATTAAAATATACGAGGGCTTTCGTTTCATTTTACAGTCGATTTTACTGGAATAAACACGTGTGCATTAGACCAGAAAGAGATTAATTTAAAAAATATAAATGGCAGTTTTAATTTTAGAAGAATGCAAAAATTTTCACCTATAAAAATGTTAAGTCTTTATAGAATTATTGCCTACGGAGCGAACTTGTGTTCACCGACATTTAACTATCATTGTAAACAGTTAAGCGCCTACCTATCCGCACCACTTTGTTTATTCACTACACACGTCTACAACTATAAAATTTATCACGTTTAATCACTTTGCGAGTAAGTATCAAATGTATCAAAAACTTATCTAAATTTTTAATTTTAATGTTAATGAGTAAATGTGCATCACTTAAACGCTTATACGTTAAAGCACTATCCTTAAATAAATAGACATTCATGATAATTATAAGAAAATCCTTAATCTAAACTTAGATAGACGCATCGAGTTTTAAAGATAACGAAAAATATTAAAGGAAACTTCAGTGAGAAGCGGCAACCCTACCGAATAATCTGTTCCACACGTCGAACTCGTTTTTATTTGATATGGCACGATTCCAAATAAATACTTTTAATTTTTTTTCATCCGCTAATTACTGAAGTTTGAAGTAAACAAAAACAACTCTTCCATAAACCTTACGATACACGATAAGCTACATAATCATATTATTGGTGACACAGCAATCGCTTACAATTAAACCTCTACCGATAGTTAAGTGACAATGATTAAATGAAATATTGATATTAAGAAAATAACCTAGGTCGGCATTTGCGAGATCTCCCTCGGATGAAAGTGCCGTTTGGTGGGAGAAAAGAATTGCAATAAACCTACGAAAATATGGTATAACACTTAAGTTAAAGTTAAAAATTTTGCTAAAATAAAACACAACTAATAAACTAAATTGAACTAAATAACACACCACTCGAACTGCCCTATTAAATAGAGCTTATCAGGATTCAGTATCACTGAAATCGAAGAATCAATAATTTATAAAACGAAATTTCTGTCCTTCAGAAGGAAATACCCAATTCAAGTATAAACCGAAAACAAAAAATGCAATTCCTGGTGTCACTTCGTCTGCTAAATATTACTTTCGTCAAAAATCAACATCTATCTATTTTAACCAACAAATTACAGAATAAAATTAAAATAAAATCAATAGTATGATCTAAACCGATAGATAAAATTACTTTCAATAATACCAACTTAATTTAACAAAAATTATTCCTAACCTCGAAGGAGGGTGAAAGTTCATGGGTCGTCACACTAGTTCACGATTACGCGATTTGGTTCAAATAATTGATGAAGTCGTTGGAGAAGAGCTGCAGGTTAGAGGTTTCGTTGGTCGGCAGGCGCCGTGGGACGCAGCTGACCGCGGGCCGCTCGATCGGCTTCGGTCTGAGGGTGGCCAGGTACCGCTCGGCGAGCGATTCGCCGAGGCTCATGGCGAGCGTCTCTGGGCTCAGTCCAAGTAGAGATAGCGATTCTGTGATGCTGGCGATGCTGGGAGGGAGCAGTTTTGCGGGTTCTTCTATTGCTTCATTAGTTCGGGATGCCATACTAGTGTTGACGACGGGGCGCAGGGCCGGGGGCGAGGCGCGGCGCGGAGGCGACGGCGCGAGGCTCCAAGTTTCAGGGGGGTGCCGGGAGATGGCCCCGGCACCGCTGTTTGTTATGGCCACTGCTGGAAAAGCGGGAAAGCCCGTTTTGTGAAGCAGTAGGACAGCGGCTTGACAAAGTGGGTGTCCAGGACACGGCAGTGCGGGCACGTCACCGGGTGCGAGTAGTCTGAATAGTTCAACCGCTGGTGTGGGTGCAGCAGTGGCTTGTAGCAGTTGTTGCACTGTTAAAAATAAAAAAATTACATTATATTTAAAAAACTTCAAATTTACATTATATAACTGTAACAATTGATTTATACATACAATTGCGTGAAAGAACATAATAATCTACTTAGATTAAACAAAAAAACGTGACACGGATGGGATATGAAAAACATTACCTCGAACAAGCTTAAGACACGGAGCTCAATTGGCTAGAGTCCCATGCTGCTGCGTTCATGACGTAATTTTTATTATTTCAATTTAAATAGATTTTTAATTTGTAAAGTTTTCTACATGGGAATCCCAGCATTTCTTTGGATACCAAACAATAACGGTACACAGTGTTTTTGAGTACATGATTTGAAAAAAGATCAACACCGCATCTCTATCAATATATACCTTCAATCGTTCAGCGCAGCACGGAGTGGCCATAAAGATGTCATACGAGTACATAGTGCCGAGAACCAGAGACGATCCATCCCACTTCTGACCGCAGAAACGGCAGCGGATCGTTCGCTCAGGATCGCATCTCTCCAGGCAGCCCATACAAACGCAGGTCAAGTATTGAGTCCGACCTTCCACTTTCACCTGTAGACAGAAATTCAGTTTTACATATGTGCTTTTTAATACTAACAACAAAGATGCGATACCAGAGCTTATAAAAGCCGCGACACAGACGACAAAGCTCTCCTTCGATATTATATCTTATAAAAGCCCATATGTTCTATGTCTGTCTCATGTTTGTGTACATCTTCGAACACAAACATGAGGCAGACACACTGATGTTTTTATTTTATCAAGATGTATTCTTAACGTTTAAGGAAACCTGTCGTAAAATATTAATTAATTAAAGGTAGATAGCATTTTTTTTTAATTTTTAATTTCGCTTTGTTTAATAGCTCTATGACTTAAATTATTTGGGGGATAAGCCAGCGGATATATCACCTGCGCAAGGGTTAGTTCAAATTGCGAGGGAAAACGCTAATTCTAACGCCAAACAAGCGCAGAAGTATCCGTGAGCACACGTTCTTGTAATTCGCTGAATAAACAACGCAGAGCCGAGAAGTTCGTCGTTGAATTGCGACGGAGGGACGCTATTTTGTAGACTTGCACAAACTTTGCCACATCTTATTTAACTTTGAGAGTTTACTTTTCTGCAATCCTCGACAAATTTAAACGCGTATCTCTTAATTAAAACGGTACTGTATCAATGGTAGGTATATCTAACTTGTATTATGTTTAAACAATCACTGAAATTTACCTTCTCATGATGCCCTTTACACAACTTTAAGATTAAAAGATATATATTATGTATTATTTCTGTTTTACATTAAAATTAGGAAACTAAATTCACTGTAATATTTAGGTGCAGACAAATACTATTATATATTTGTGTGCACCTAAATATAGTATAACAACATCGATATCTATGTATTGCCTCAATAAGAACGATAAAAAAACGTATGATAGCATAGCTAATCAACAAGTATAAAGAACCATACCTCAACGGCACTGCTAGTATGCTGGCGGGGACTGAGGAAGAAAGTCCCGTCCACAAGTGGATACCGGTCGAAAACGTGCAAGGTCTCCTTGCAAAGGGCACAAGAAACCCTGGGTTTGTGCTGTCCAGCGAGTGTGGAAAGGATGAACAGCCTGGTGTCATCGTTGCCATGGTTACCCTCGTCCTCAATCTGGAACAATGATATGCAATGGTTATTGTTAGTCGACTATAAAATATAAACAGCAAAATTGTTTTCTTGTAAGCGAAAATTAATAACTGATATTACTGAGATTTAATTAAATATACAGCAGCACGAGTATCTATTATGAGATAAATAGTAATTATTTAAGTTCCGCGTCAAGCAGGAACCCTAGATTATTTAAATCTATATGTTTTACTTTAAGGAAATAGGAAGTAATGTGCGGTTAGTAACCATAAAATCGTAAGGCAATAGAAAATGCATATAGCACAGCACGCCTCGCTCGCAGAACGAGAAAATTTTTCTTTCTTGTATGTGATTGTGGCTAACATAAAAGCCATTTTATCTTGTTATCATAAGTACATAAATAAATTAATTGGAGATATAGTAGAAGTGATCTACGTACTCTAACACTTAGATCCGTTGTAGAATTATATTAAATTGAGATATATATGAGATACTATCATCGTTAACGTCTGTAGTAGTTTGTCTTTACTCGCGAAGTAAAATAATCGAAGCGTCCTAGCTCGGTTTAGCTGTAGCTCGTTCGCCAACCGCGTTCGCGATTTCAATATTTCATATCCCTACATTTACATATTCCGATTAATGCATCCACCCACGACACTTACTCTCCCTTCGTAATAACCCAAGTAAATGACTGCATAAGTTGAATAATGAAAGGCTGAAAGGCAATTACGCTGAATTTGGAGTCGAAGTCAAACAAAGGCTCACGAGCGCCGCAGAGATCGATTGTGAAGTTCAATTTGTTCACGTACGAACAATTTGTGAACGCGAATAATAATGAAAGTTTAACGAGTTACTGCTGCACTCGAAACTTAATTAAACATTGTCAAACGCTTATATACTCTGTGGGCGTCTATTAGATATTTTTCGGGCTACAGTCTTTTATAAACGCCGAAGGATTACAGAAATGTTGCTGTTGTTTTCTTCGACCCTAATCGAGAAAATCCCAATCAATACCTTACTAAAAAAATAGGTTCAAATAGTAAGGCCGACACCAAATGTTGACGCAGCGTAATCCGTTATATTACCTACGCGATTTATAAGAAACCACAGCCGTAAGCAATATATGTATCATCGCGTGCCCATTGTGAGTCCACGCAGATGATATTCGCCGTGTTAAACAGGCATTACATGAATACGTTTTGATCGGTACCACGTTGTCTAGACGTGTAACGCAGGACGCATAATATGCAAGCGCATACCGTTTGCTCGATGTAACATTCCTGTACTATTAATAGAATGACGTCGTGACACCAGGAACACATAAAACCCAAGTGCAATGACCTACGCAAACTCAATATGATTTGCCGGAGTTTGCCAAGAGACGGAGCGGGGCAGTCATCCGGCCCAGCCGAAGCGTTTGATAACTTCCCAAGTTTAACGTGAACTTCGTCTTGCTGTGCATTCAATTATATTGCGCCTACCGTGCATTCGTAAACAGCTCTCGTTACATTCCTGTCGTCAGTTCAAGTAATGATAAATAGCAATTCATGGAACCGCCTGCAGAGGACGCGCATGATTGATTCGTCTAGAACTGGACAACCATGATTGATACAACAATAAATTGAAACGTGCGAACAGCAACAGTGCAAGTTTCATTTGCTTTAATTAAATGCAATGAAGTAGCCTTAGGACAAACGAGGGACAATTAAATTGTTAAGTGTCGCATTGAAGACAGTTTAGGTCGAAGGTCGGGGCGACGACCCTCCGACTTGCACAACTGTATACGTACAAGAGAACTGCAAGATTGATGAGCACTTTAAAGAAGACTATTTATTTACTCAATCCGATCACGATTTGTCTCGCAATCGTCGCCTTTACAGTCTGCGACTGAAGCGCGCCAATAAAACAGTAACATTAAATCCCTCTTACGACTTCTCGTATTTACGTTCTTACGTCTGTTGTAACTGCTAGTCTAAGTAGAAATGCAGGAGGGGACCATTTAGTCCCGTCCGCAGTCAGTTAACACGAGCTGACTGAGCCATTTTACGGCAGTAGACGATAGTTACTTCCTTTAATTACGCCTACTTAAATTTACATAGAGGAGAAACTTGGCAGCCTGTGAAACGGTGTGGCAATGTTCATGCTCTCGACGTCACTTGCGAATCTCGCGAATAGTTTCTGAAACCCCGATAGTGGAACTTTCTCAAATGAAATCTTGAATCTCTGAATTAGTGACGCGCGAAACTTCTTCAGATATTTAATCGTAAGTTTGTGATTCGACGTTCAAACAGGAGCGTGAAGAGCTCTTCGCTTCAAAGAGGAAGTGAAGTACTCAAAGATGTCAACACTCGGCGACGTTAAACGAACCTACGACACAAACTTTCGTCGAAACATTTTCCATCAGCAAAGATAAATAATCACCGGCGACGACTTATTTTTATATAGTCCTTGCTTAATATTATGTACGCAGTCTTTTGTTTCCTCAAAATAAACAACTGCAAGTTACTCACCAGTCACCACACAAACAACCTTCGTTCTCCATTGTCTTTGCTATCTTTACTGAGACTGTTTTAAATGAGCTTTTAATATAAAACGTCGCCGACGTTAATGTTGAACAACTTTAATAAATCCAGATTGTTCCCCCGCTTGGCTTATTTTTAATTAGGCAAATGAATGTTCGCTATTATATTGCGTCGTCGCTACGTCGACTGTTCAGTCGACGCAAAAATCAAACGCAGAGCCTGTAGGAAAAGGCCATGTAAAATGAGAAAGCTGGCCGCAAATCCAATTAGCCGCAACAAGATATCGGATACGATATTGGCAAAATACTAGATCGTTTCAATTTTGTATTAAATAGGCGATATATATTGAAGGTTAAGCATGCTGCAGTCGTTGCTTACTGTTGGAGGGGGAAAGCACGCGAAAAGCAATTTTTCACCAGTGCCATTTCAAACAATAAGTCTGCGAGTGGTATTTGCGGTGCTCAATACATTTGCCCCGACGTCCCGCTTCATGTTTGCCATTGTCTAAAAGCTCTATGTAATTCTCTTTGCTGAATGCATTCAGCGTTAGGACGCTTCAATTCTGCAAATATGGTAAAGACCGTATTAATATTAAACTCATATTTCGCTTATATGAATACAATGTTGTGCAAAGCCAGTGCCACGAGAAATGACGATTTATACAATCGTGGCCATCACTCTTGCGTGTAACTTGTCCGCACCTCATCAGTATTCGACTGTCAAAGGATTGTGGTTTATGTAAATCTGAAGCATTTATTACTCTGCCAACGTGGCTCCGTAAATGTCGATATGGCAAGATCCCCACGGCGAATAACTCGTATTTGACCTTTTTTAAAACGAACGGAGTACACAGTGTATGTATAGTGAATGTACATACAATGTATAAGTCCTTATGTAACTAGCACATGGCATGAATTTCCGAAATAACAAAGAAAATTCCCCACTTCATAATGGAAATATTTTATCCTGTTAATACGTTTCGCGTATCAAACATTCCACGCGCGTCGCCATTTTCGCGATATTGTTAGAAGTTATAACGCGTTTTAATTTAACTAGACCTTTACAGCGTCGCATAATCCCCACCTGTATGTGGAAATTGTATGAAAATTCCCTGCATAATACCTGCTTAAGCAGACGGAATCTTGTCGTTTTATTGCTTGAGAAATAGTGAAATGTATTCCCCTAGAGGAAAATGAAGTGCAGAACGAACTATCCCATCTCTTTACGACGAAAATGTAGCAGAAATTTACATTCAAACGGGTGTAAAAATTCTTAAACGCGTTGCGAGTCGCGACTGGGCGTAGGGTGCTTTGATGGGATTTTGATGAGGTTCCGACGAACAGCGACAGAAACACTGACGACATTTTTATTAAAAGTGTACTCTGACAATCGAGATCGTTCAGTCGACGAGGTCGTTACATGGAAGAAATTGATTGCTGTAACAGAACGAGTCAACGAGGCGCTATTAAAATTATAGAACGAAATTTGTACAAAGATGCCAGTCGAACCGCAGTCGAGACGGGTGCTTAGAACATGGAAAACTACTTATCCTAACTTGGTTTTATCGTTAGCTGTATTGTTATGTCAGTTACTGCCCATTCAAGTAATGTCGTTAGTGCCACTAGATAATGGCTACTCGTTTTACGCTGCTGTGTTCATAAATATTATGTTCTTGGACTTTTCTCACGTTCCTTTAATATCTTTGGGATGTTGTTCTGAATGGAAGGATACAAGCTATTTTAAAATGTGTATTTATTTTCTAATTTACAAATCATTTACGGAAGACAGCTTAACATTTTTTGCTGTTTATATAAGCTAGCATTTTACACAAATATAGAAGTAGGTACATAAATAATACAATAGACCTTAAAAATAAAGTTTTACAACTAAGACGCAAAACGTCGACGACTGAAAAATAAATAAATCAAAAGGAATATTTATTATATTACTCTTATTGTTACTTGATCAATAATTTACTGCTTTAAAATAAATCTTTTGTCCGAGCGTAAAATCGTATAAATAAATCGATTGATGTAGGTCAAGGAATAAAGCATGAGTAACGAGTAAATAACGATGTTTAATATTTAACTTTAAATACACATGTTGTAACAAGCTCGTGTTATGAAGTACAAATTATTCTAATTAGAAGCTGTTAACGTAATTAGTTTGGGGATTATTTTGTGAATTCAAAATAAGGATAATAATGTCTGTACTTCTAGTAAATACATACATAAATAATTATTATGACACAGAAAGTGAGGTGATAATTCGTAGATTTTTGTCTGTATTGTGTTAGTACGTTATGCCTAAATTATTACTATTCGATGAGAAATACATAAATTAATAGGTGCTAAATGTGAATGTAGCAACGATATAAAAAAAATATAATTTTAAGTGCTGCAACATCCTTTAACTAATTATTATGAAGACGAAGTGTGTTTTCCTATAGTAAATATGTAATCAGTACCAAAATCAATATTTGGATAAATTATTTAGAAGGTG